CGGTAATCCAGTCCCAAAACCCAAAACCCAGTGTTGTCCTATACGGTTACAGTTCAGTGTTTAAACCAAATTTAACCTGTTTCCTGTCAATAACCCTTCATGAATCATTAGTAAAATCTTGTGGGACTGTCTATAAAGAGACAGATCCAAAATCGAACTAGACACTGCGCCATAGGCGTGTAACTTAATTTTTTTTTACTCCAAAATATTTCTGACTCAAATCTGATTCTGAACTTAACTGACTTATGCCTTAGCATTATAACACTTTTTTCTTATTAGGAATTCCAAATTTAAACCAAACATTTTTTTTAAAGAAAGATTAACTTTGTTATTTTATGATTATCCAATAAAAGATTTCCTCCAAACAGCTCCAGTTTTACTAGATACATGATTCTTTATTCTATAACCAATTAACCATTATGTGGTATATACTAGATGCATCGTCAATCTAAGAACCAAATCCTGATAAATTAATCTCTTTGCCAAAAGTAGATAGCATGGTTTAGATCATGCTTAGTCTAGATTCTTTTGGGTCTAATTTGGCCATTATCATCTCAATTCAATAGGCCTCCCATTAATCTTTATTCTCATCATCTAAACCAAATTTGTTCTAGAACATCTTAACCTCAATCAGTTTAAACTTCCTAATTTACAACATTAAAGAATTAAAGTCAAGCCCTCGCTCACGACCAGCCGAGTATTAGCTATGACTTATGGAACCAGATCTGCAAGAGTTAGCACTAAAATCTATATTTGGATGACTAAACTTTTTTTCATTAAAATATTTTTTATAAAGTATTTATTATTATGTACAATTTATAGTAAACAATTACCAGATGAAACAAGGTATTAGCTTATTGTATCAAAAAACCTACCTATAGGTTCTAAATAATTAACTGTATCTAACTTTATTATATCCAAAATGTTTGAAGGAAATATTTAAATCTCAGAATATTTTTTCCCAATTATTCAAAATTTATTTGTTAATATCGCCATTTAAAAAGAGGACACCATTTTTCTATTAACTTGCACTTTAAATCTTAAGTTGGTTGTTCTGACTCGATTACCCCTAATAGTAGTTAAATAGTGAAAATAATTTAGAATAACGTGGAGCCAATATTAAGTCTTAAGATGAAAATTAATCAAAAGGCTTTTTTTCATCTAAATATTAAAGATAAGGATTGTCTAAAGTACGTCCTAATCCTGCTTTCCATTATTCTATTAGCTATAAGACCTTTTCTATTATTCTTGGAGGATTAATCTAAAAAAAATTAAATAAAATATTTACTAACGAAGTATTAAAATTTGTAAAAGCTAGGGATTTTAAAAAAAAAATAAAATTATATTAGTAACAAAGGCATTTTTTCTAAACAATCCTTTTAAATTGAGTTTTAATCTTAATCAAATTTTAAATTTTGTATTCTAATACTTATTATAGATTTTTTAAGAGTTTCAATTACTTAATTTTACATCTTATCATTTTAATATATAAAATTCTCGAATACCCACCCTAATTGATTTATCCCGAAAATTTTTTGCATTTTGTTTAACTATAAATTATAC